GCTCAGCCCTTCCACCCTGTGAATAACTCCTCGTCTTCCCTCTTAAAGAATTAATCCTCCTGAAGGCTAAGGAATGTAAAAGGCTATACCAAATAACGTGATTTTGAATGGATATTCCTGCTTCTGTTGTGCGGCTGTTTCATCTGCTCTCATTTTTCCGTTGCTTTGTTTTCAGAAGGCTTTTGCTGATCCAGGCATTTATTTGCAGCTTTGCTCACAAGTGCTGGTCACAATCTGGGCTTTGATCTTTTCTCTGTGCATTCAGAAATCCCCGGAGGTCTACTGTTGTTATTTAGCTTTGCGAAACGTTAAAGTTTTGAATCCAGTATTAGCCTCTGCAGCATATTTATCTGCCACTAAATCACTTCCAGAATTTACTGACAACCAAAGGGTTACAAACATTTCAGCACGGAGTAGTCTGGCAAATGTTTGTGCAGAATAGAAAGGAGCAGCGCAAGATTACTCAGAAAATGTTTCTATTACCTTCATATTCTTCTAGTGTTCCTGTTTCCAAATGCTATATGGTGCTTTCGGACTTTAGATCCCGAGGCTTTTCCAGAGGTAGTAATTGTTACTTACCCAGACTCTGTGGATAACAAACGGAGGCAAAGCGACTTGGTGAAGGTTGTGCAGCCAGCCGGTGACTAAGCTGAGGCTAAAACCCAGCTCTCCTCTGCTTCAGACGCCAAACCAGAATGAATGCTGTGTCCCCCTGCAGAAAGCACGGTAACGGTGGCAGAGCAGCAGCATAAATGATTTAAAATTACAGGTACTGATGCACATTTAATGCATCGCTTTTTATTTATAGGTACTGATGCATATTTAATGCATCGCTTTTTATTATGTGCTAAGTTTATTTATTATTTCTTTATTATGCATTTCGTTTAATTAATTTTCAAGCATACTTTTTGAAGAAGGGTGGTAAACAACGAGTCCCAAAGGGAGAGTTCTCTGGCTGATCTGCACCACGCTGCGGGTAACTCCTCTGCCTGAGCCGAGGGCTTGCGCCCGAGCGAGATCACAAGCTCACACCTGATACACCTTGTACCCACACGAGGGGATGGAGGTAAGAGCAGGCAGTGGATGGCTCTGCTGTTTTCTGAGCCTGCTGACGCTTTGAAGAGCCTACACCCACTTTCTTATTTCTTTTTAGTTTGTTCTCTCCTTCCATTTGTATAAAAAGATCCTTTTTACGGAGGTCGTGTTAGGCCTGTGAATAGCAGCGAGACGCAGCATCGTGGCGCGTCACTGTGGGTCACAAGCTATTCCGCTTTGATATTTAATTCCATTACACTTAGACGAGCGGGCGGCTGCTGGCTGGCACCAATACTGCTCTCCCCGAGCTCTTCCCCAGGCCGGCGAGGGACGTCTCTGCGGGCCCCCGGCTGCCTCTGGCTGGGGGACAAGGACACCAAGCTCCAGGGACGTGGGGTCACCGCTCCTTCCCACCAAGGGCCACGGGGTCACCGCTCCTGCACGCCCAAAAAGCCTGCCTTCTGCAAAGCCCCCCCGCAACTGAAACTTCAACAGCAGCCGCTTTCTCCGAGTTACTCATTCAGCATGAAAAGAAAATGTCTTGTCAAAAAATAATTCCATACAGATTTCACTCGCACGGGATAACGTACAGATGAGTTTGCAATCTCGCGCAGGCTGAGGGAGAGTTACGTGAGAGATCAGTGCTTTTTGGCGCATGCTGTCCGTGGGTAGAGACATTACTCAGCGTATACTTCCTTTATGTGCCTCCAAGGTATATGACCCTACGTTACAATGAAGCTGAACAATCCATGAAACTCACTGCCAAACTGATAAATAACCTGTCAAAATTGCTGGCACAAGATACGGCTGCCAAGAATATAACCAAACTTAGAAAAAGTTTAGAAAATACTGATATCAGGAATTAGAGAGCGTGTAATATTTGAGGGAGGGAGAATAAAACAACGTCATGATTTGACTCAAAACACTGGGCCATCCGTATCTTCAAGGGTTGCTCCCGATGAGGATCTCAGTGTTGGGCTTGCACGCCTATAGTGCAGGACGCTGGTTTACATCCCTAAATACCGCACTTGGCGGAAAAGAAGGCACAGGCGGGATGCAGAGGGCTTTCCAAGGGCAAAGACAAGCAGCAGAGCAAAGAGCGCATCTGACAAGTAAAAATCTGAAACCGAGGACACGATGGGGCATCGGGGTATCGGCCTATTATCAAAACTCCTGCTGTCTTCACGCACCAGTCCGTTTTCCCACCGATGCGTTCTTTGCCAGAGGTGAGCACCACGCGTACCCATCCCAGACCAAGCCTGTCACCTCTTTTAAACCATTGGTAGATACAAGCACTGTCCAAATGGGTTAGAAGGGAGGGAGAGGGGGAACTGTATTGTATATTAGAAAAATTCAGTTGGAAAAAAAAGAGACGTATACATATACACATACACACACATATATACACATATATTTGTGCTCTTCTCTTTCCATTTTCTCCAGTAACCAGTCCATATTTACCAGATGCATCCATGCAACCCTTTAAAGGAGAAATATTTCCTTCAGCCCCCCCAAGAAATCAGTGGGAGCTTTGCCACTGATGCAGCACGCGTGCATGGTGAGAGCAGGGCAATGTCTCATCCCTGCACCGCTGCCTGCCGAGGGCTGCTGAAGAGGAGAGGAGCTGTGCTCCTCTGGCCACAGATATATTTGCAGGTATCCATCCTGGAGCGAGTTAGCAGGGCTGGGAATTCAACCAGCCTGAAATGTAAGACCAGGCTTTCAGCCTTGTTTTTTGACAAGATGAGCATTTTCACCCACAGGGTTTGGTAGTTCGGGCGATACAGGCACTGTGAGTCTCAGGATGTGGACATTGAAAAAAATACCTTCCCCATCTCACATTTGGGCTGCTGATAGTATGTGGCTGTTCTTTTACAATTTCCTTCCTGCACAGGCGGCAATCACTAATTTTAGACTCGCTTACATGTAAAAGCCACATTTCTGGCTTGGCAACAGTTTGCTGCTTCTAAAGAAGAATCCTACCCTGCCTTGCCAGGTAACTATTACTCTGTACACACTTAAGCGACAGATTTCTTGGGTTGTTAAAAGGAAACAAGTACAGCGCACAACAATGTTGGTTTGAAGGTATCCAGGAGTAAACAACAAAATCGATCCATTTGTGCAACAGCTGTCAGAGAAGCGCATACAGTGCCTAGCAAAAATAGAAAGAAATAATATAATCTCCAGGTTTAGCAGTGCTACTGCAAAAAGTGATTTCATAATACTAAAGTGGATAACTCCAGATAGGTAATGACGTGTCGGTTAGCATTTACCTCAGCTTTGCAACTTTTAAGTCTTACAAAAATTTGTCTAGTCTCGCTCTTGTTATTTTACAGATTTTTGGTAATGCACGGTCAGATCCTTTTGCCTTTTAACGTGCTGGTGTTAGCGTCATTCTTACAAGACACGTTCCCTGCAAATATTCCCTGGGCTGTGCGTGGCCGGCTCGGTCGCCCAGCACCCCGTGAGCTACGCAGGCTCCTCGGCGAGCAGAAATCACACGTACGGAGTTCAGAGGCCCTTTGTGCTATTTGTTGTAAAGGGAGACTCAAAGCTATATGCAAAGTCAAGGGGATTCTTGGGACGACGGGAGCCGTGTGCTCTTTGCTCCTTCGCCTGGATGCAAGGTGGGGAAGGCACCGCTGTCTCCAACTGGAGTTTTTGGGGCAGAATTCCCGCGACCTGCCGCAGACAGCCCCCAAACAGCCCGTGTATGAGCTGGGGGAGTGTGGCTTCGCCAGCCTGCAAAGGCTCGTGAAAGAGCAGCCTTGGGCGTGCAAGGGCGTGCACGAGCGTGCGAGGATGTGCACAAGTGTGCATGGGTGTGCACGAGTGTGCGGCTGTGGGACCAGCACCCTTCCCCAGCCCAGCCACAGGCAGCATCACCTCCGCCGGCTGCGGCTCCAGACCGAAACCAGTCTCTGCTGGGACATAAAAGGTAGGAGAAAAGGACCAGCAGAGCAAACCTCGCAGAGAGCAGCGAGTGCTGAGGATCGCAAACTTCTTTTATGCTTGTATTCCTTAAAAGCATTTGGAGCGTTTCCTTAAAAAGGTGTGGGTGATCAGCGAACAGATTTGTAATCCAGCCTCTCACATTTCCAGGGAGTTTCTGGTAGCTTTAGAAGCATTTTGCAGGACAACCTCTGAAGTCCCAGGCAAACTTTGGAATGATATTGCAGGTGCTCAGCGGGAAGGAGACTCCTGTATTTAATTTTCTGGGGGTCAGAAGATCCAAATTCCCTGTCACGTGCCTAATAAATGCCATTTCGCTGTGCCACATTGCACTTTACACAGCAAGGCTGAGGCGCTGACAAGTTGCTGTGAGATGATAAATCCCTCACCCAAAGTGAAGAATCTGTCTAGTGACCGATTTAAAGAGATTTTAAATCAGCCTGGCAGATGATGAAGGCTTGTTCTTACCTGATGTGGTTTTTATTATTGAATAGGAAAGCATATGAAATTGGGTTATTCTGTCATACAGAAATGAGTTTGTTTTCTTGGTATCCATGTATGCTGTATGATATATAAATCCTCCTCGGTGTAGTGTCTCTGCATTGTCATCCCAAGATACATTACACGCTCCTGTCAGGATGTCTAAGGGATCGTTTTATCCATCCTAACCGCAGTCAGCTCCAGGGACAAAATGCTCCAAACATTTAGCAAGAGAATGATTTTGAATAGTAATTGAAGTATATTGCATCCTGCAAAAAATCACCTGCTCTGTATTTCAGTTCTTATGGGAATCCAAGTTTTATGGGTTTTATGCTTGTGACAACATGAGGTAAGTTTAAAATTGTGATTTACTGGCCAAGGCATTCCAGGCAGCCACAAGAATTTGTAGTCGATTAAGAAGGCAAATTTCAGACTTGAAGTTTTGCTCCAGTTCTGCTGCTTGCAGTCTCAAAGGTTGATGTGTGCCATGGTCACCGCTTTGGGTTTTTTCCGATCACAGCTACAAATCTCTCTCAAAATAATCTCCCGATGCTTTGCGGAAAGCAGGTCTTCATATCCCCCGACTCCTCGTTCATGGCTCTCAGGCAAGAGACCAGCTCATCGGGGACCAGCGTTTGCTCTTGACCGTCGCTGCCCAGCGCGTGTCCCCACTGGTTCTCCGGGAGGGAGCCGTGTCCCCCCAGGGCTGAGCCGAACGCGTGGCTTTGCCCGCTCCGGCTGTTGTTTAAGATGAGGTTGATCTTCTCCAGCAGACAGAGGGGGTGTCCCCCTCCCTCCCCGTCCCACAGGTGGGGAACGGGGCTCGTGTAGTCTCTGAAGAAGACATTCATCTCCGGTTCTGGGAGGTGGGGGGGGGGCTGCGTTTGGTAAATATTGGCGGCCACGTACCCCAGGGGGTTCCCGTCGGACACCTGAGGTTTGTAGTCGGTGATCTGCTCAGGGGTCGTGGTGCTGGCAGGCACCTTGGTCCCCGGGCGCTCCCCGACCTCGGGGACCTCTCTGCTGGGCTTCCTTCTGGTGGCCACGTTCTTGTACTCCTTGTGCGCCGGCACCTCCTCGATTTCCATGACTGCGGGGTCGCTGGTGTCCAAGAACGGCTCGTGGAAACTGCTACTTGTGGAATCACTCTTTTCCTGGAAAAAAAAACGATGACCGTGGGAGCAAACTGGCAAATTTTACCCAGGGGTGAGCTACCATTAGAGCATCCCGAGGAAGAAACGGGGCAATGACGTGTTGTCTTCATCTCGTCTTCCTTCCCACCTCTCTCATCCAATCCCCCCTGTGAAAAGGACCGCAGCGAGGTGGACGGGAGAAGACGGGGAGCAGCTGTGCCTGTCTCCACGCTCCTGCACGCACTTCAAGGGTGGCTTGAGTCAACTGTGGCCACTGAATAAAGAGCATATTGAGGCAAAGTTTAAAGACCTCAGCTAAGCTGGGCTCCCATGCACCTTGGAAATGCCTGGGAAATGATTCCTGATCGGTTCCTGGTCCCTTAGAGATTAATCCTCTTCCCATCCATGTTTCTCACAGCTCTGGAGCAAGCTTTAATCTAAGGGGAGACTAGTGAAGAAAAGCTGGGAGATAATAATAATAGTGCAATTACCTGGAGTGACTTTACCACGTTGCTGTTTTCCATGTGGGGAAAGTCTTCAAACAGCCATTTTGGCAAGAGCGACACAAGGATGGTGCTAATTCTTTACCAAAAAGAAAAAAATAAACACCAAGACGTTAGTCCATTTTATTAGTCACTTATTCTTCATGCAGGATGAAACTGTCCCCCGGCAGGAGGGGCACACAAGTGCACCCATCCTTCAAGGATGGCTTGGAAGCCCCAGGTTTACCCCATATGGGTGGGGTTTTCCCCATTTGAACTCTAGCTCTTCGTCTTTCAACCTTATTCCCCTAGGTTTGATTCGTGGCGGTGCAAACCTGGAAGCTAAATTACTCTAGGTAAATCCCTTATGTAAAACTTGTCTGGATGTGAAAATGTTGCTAAACTGGAGGGCGGGGGGAAGGACCAAGCTATGCGTATGAATCAGAGGAGGCATGTGTGCCCTGAGCTGATGAAATCAAATACACAGCAGTAATGAAAGTTGATTTTCTTACAGCCAAAGCTGCTGCAGAAATGAAAATAATTTGCAAGAGATTTTAATTTCGCTGAGCTTTGCTGATGTCCTGGTGCTTCGCTGCGTTCCTGGGAAAATACACAGTCCCTGTTGTTGCTGAAATGCCCGTGTTTCACAATGACATCGAGAGCAGAAGAATTAGGCTGGGTTCAGGAACCAAAAGAGGCAGTCCTTCGACATCCTCTACCCCAGGTCTCCTCTCCCCTATTTCTTGTTTTGTTGGGAAGATCCAACCAGCAGTGCTGTGCCACAGAGGCCACCCATTCCCCTGGATTTGTGTCGCGGACAGCAGCGCCTGGACTCCTGGACATCCCTGTTCCAGCTACTGGGCAAACTGGGATAGATGAGTGCTGGTTTGCAAGGGTGCCTGGCAAACAGCAGTCAGTGTTAAAACCAGTTTTAAGGTCCTCCCCATTGAGTTTTCCAGCTGCTCCACTCTCCAGTCTCCGCCTGTCCCTCAGGGTCCAGGCGTGAGGGGCTTCAGCATCCCCTCCTCAGTCAAAACTGGGAGTAACAAGTCCTAGGACAAAACTTACCTACAGAGGTTATGTTTTTCCTCTCGTTTTTTACCCCCACCCTTATATCTCTGTAAAGGCTAGCCTTTACAGAGGAATGATTTTTTACTTTTTTTGTTGGTCTCTGCCTTGCTGTAGAGCACACAAATGTCATTTCATATAGCAATCTGCTTAATGGGTGAAGTCGCCCTCAGTAAGAGCAGGCTGCAGTGAAAGGGACTGGTTTCTGTAGTTAATTTTAAAATATTCTGGAAGAAAAGTATGAGTTGAAAATAAGGAACAAATCGTGGAGGAGAAGGCAATACCTTTTTCTGGCTGATTTTTTAAACATCAGAATTAACAGAACAGCTGACAATATGACCACGCTGACGCCCAGTCCCAGGAAAACTCCAATGTCATCATCTGAAAAAGGATAGAGAGGAAAAAGGTCGATCGGGTGGCCCTGCTCTGCCGCCCCATCTGCCACAAGGTTCGTTGAAGTAAAGGGAAGACCTTTGCTAAAACAGCCTTCAGCGTTTCACCTGCCCTTTTGCTCCTCAGTGAACAAAGCAAAGCCATAACAAAAGCAAAACGAAAACTGCCGTCCCATCCGCGCTGTGCTGTGACCAGGCACTGCAGCCCCTTCCCCTCGCAATCACCACGCAGGGGGGATTCAGCCAAGTAGTTCGAAGAAGTGTGGTCACGGTCTTAAACCATTTCCTACGCAGCCTTACTACCTCCAGAAACACTGAAGTCAATTCTTCAGCTTATGTTGGTTTTGCTTTTGGTTTAAGTACTGCAACAGATCATAACGTAACCTTTACCAGAAGATGTGCAAACCAGAGCATAACCGAAGTTAGAAACATGGATGGGAAATGCTTAGACGAGTCTCTGGTTCAAACTGCGAGATTGAAACAGTCTATTGCTGGTATGCTACGTGTGAGCGTTACCTTGTATTTTCCTTGTTTTCTTATCTCCTACTGGTCGTAATGTACATTATACTATAAGTCTCATGAAGAAGCAAAACTTAAGGCTTGCATTATGCGGGTGCTATTCATCCATGAGAGCACCGCAGCCTTTCCTGCCATGCGGCTCATGTCCCCACAGAGTGCAACATTGCTTTTCAGACTCCTCCGAAGTGTGAAAGGGAGCTTTTGCTTCCCCATCGCCAGGTGCTGCTCGGGCTAAAACTTCCACTTCTGGTCAAGGAGAAAGTCTGGCTTACCAAGTCTGAGCTACTATCTTCTTACCATGGGAGATCTCGCTGTAGGTGCTGCCCAGGACCTGGTCCTCCGACGGGACTTAAACAGAGAGAGGAAAAAAATGTCCATAACTTCATTTAGAGGACAGTGGGTGACATAGAAGCTATGGCTTATTTTTATTTTGTTAATATTGTTTAGAAAAGTAAATAATGGTATAATGAGAAAAATAAAGCCCCCTAAAGTAATTAGTAACTCCAGCTCTGGCTGGACTCTACTCAATCTCCTATTTCTCAGAGATCCAATTAAACGAGATGTTGATGAACACATAACACCAATTACAAAACATCCTCCACGCACACCGCTCCCCTCAGCACCTGAAACAAGAATCTAGACTTCCTGAGGAACCGTACATCATTTTTCACGAGTCCCTACAGATTATTTCCCAAAGTGTGTGACCCCCATGGGACTGAATTTTCTGATGGCATCCGTTTGTGTGACGGGCTGTGCGGTGAGGGAAGATCTGCAGCTAAAGAGCCTGCCATGGCAAGACGCGTATTTTTGCTAAAACAAGCAGCGAGCTTTCTTCGGGGGGGTCACCCTGCAAGAAAAAGGGTCTCTGCTGGGACGTGCACGGCGTGCACGCTCCCCCTCCGGAGAACGTGTCCCGCCGGAGCATCCCGGGCAGAGCCCGCAGGAGGGAGGTGTGCTGGGAACGTAAGGGAGTGCTATTGCAAGGACAAGGAAGGGAGCCGGTCCCTTTTCACCGCGAGCAGGACAAGAGTCGTCATCTTGGACTGCAGCAGTTAAAGCACGGGTCACCGAAGAGGACAACTGGTCTAGCAGCAAGGAGGAGGAGCGCCAGGGTGGGTTGCCTTTTCTTGGAAATGCAAGAGCAGTTTCAGCAAACATCTGTCGGGAATGGAAGCAATACAGCTGATCTTCCCTTGGGACGGGGTAATCTTCCTCTCCAGCCTTGCTCCCTATGATTTGGCTGTGTCTTTCAATGGCGGTGAGCATTGCTGATGTGGTTGTGGGTCCGCGTTGGGTTTGAAGGAAGGGAAATGCCCCCAGAGCGGCTGGCAACATAAAGGGCCCCTTTTGCAGAGTCATCCGTGCAAGTACAGCTCACACTGGCAGCGGGGTTTTCCCAAGACAGCAAATTGCCAATACTGGGAAATTTGGGAAGGGCAGACTTGCAAGAGCATCTTTAGAAGTACAAGAATCCAGGTGCTTTATGAAACGCCTCATTTGCATGTCTGAAAACTCCTCCATGCCCTTCAGCTGGCTGACTGCTTTAGGAAAAATCCTGCTGCTCCCCATGTTTGCCTCTCTGTCCCCGAAGCCGGCGGTCCCAGCAGGGCAGGGACGAGAAGCCACCTCCTCCGCAGAGGGGGACCGTCACCCGGCTCACGGTGAACGTCTGCTTGTGGCAGCAGAGGGCTGAATGCATTGAAGCAGAGCATCAGCATCAATCAGAAGAGCAGCCAGCACCCTCACCTACAATCACAGAGCTTCAACTGGCCAGGACAATTAAGGATATCCAGCTTAATATATCCTATATATATAATATATATATAATAATAACCTAAAAAACACAGGCCACCTGGTTTCAGCCAGTGATTTCTGCAACAGAGTAACCCATCCGTTGAGATTGGTTTAGATGAAAATGAGTGAAAACCTTTTGGAATTCACAGCCTTTAATGAATAAAACAGCAGCGGTCAAAGGATGGAGCTTATCCAAGCCTGGTGGAGCAAGCCCTGTTCCGCTTCTGTTTGGTACTTGATTCGCAAGGACCAACGCGAATCCAAATGCAATTTCTGCCTCTCCAAAGGGCAAAAAAATCCCAGTAGAAAGTACTGCCTTTGATTTTGTGCATTTGAAGCACACGCATCTCCTAGCAGAGCTCCCGGAGTTTGAGTATTTCGGTTCCCTAAGTAGAGCGTGTTTGCAGTACAAGCCCACTCAGCTGGAGTGCGCTGCAGGCGCTGCAAAGCATCTCTCAAATACATGGGATTGTGGAAGGCAAGTGCTGGAGTACATCATTCTGCAGCCTGGGAATTCAGCTCTTTGGGGGGCAGGTGTCACTGGCACATTGAACTGGTATAAAATAACAAAAATTAATATGCCTGCAGCAATGCCTTACTGACGATGGACGGGCTCAATCTGAATAAAGAAGAAAGAGGTTCAACCTGTGGGGTCAAGCTGGAGGACTTGACTGCGGGTGTCAGCCGTGGGTTGTGTCGGTGCTTTGGAAGCAAACCTTGTCACAGGCACGAGCTTCACTGCTGCCTTATGTTGGCACTTCCCCACATAAACCCCCAAGCTTTGTTAAAGGAGTCTCTGCAACCACTAAGGATAAAGTCTCTATTTTTAAGCATTTAACACATTTCCAAGCCATTTGCTAGTGCAAAGGTTAGAGCATCCTCCCTTTGACACCCAGCTCTTCCCCCTTCCACGCAGACAGAGACCTGCTGCCGAGATTTAAGCCCACTTGAGGATCAGGACCCTGGAAATTCATGTCGCCAGAGCTGGAGGTGCCCAAACCCCGGCCTGCCCAGAGCCAAAGACTGTCAGCGTGTCTGTGAGCATAACACCTAATTGGCAGGGCTAACAGATGTGAACAGCCCGGGATGAATCGGCCAGGAACATTTGTTTCCATTTCTCGGGGAAAAAATTGAATAACTGCCCTTCTCAAAGCTGCGAGGGGTGCCAACCAGAAACACAGAGCCGGTTTGTCACAGGGAAAGTATCTGAGCAGCTTCAGATAACCCACCTAAAACTGCATCACAGCATGGGACAGTGAAGTGACGACATCCTCAGGTGTTACCCCTGCTCTGCCAGGGCAGGGAGGGCACTAACGGGTCTTCATGGCCCTGACCAGCCTCACCTAGGACCTCCACCCACACCCCCTGCCCCCGGGATATTTAAGCTCAGCCCTGGGTTATAAACTGTGTTGGAGGAGCTCTGGAGGTCCTAGGAGTGATCCATAGACTGATTTCACCTCAGCCCTCCCTTGTCTCCATGGACCTGCGCAGCCATCGCTGGATGCTGCGTGCAGCATCCCTGCATGCAGAGGGGTTTTGCCTGCGCTGTGGTGGCCGTGGAGCAGGTACGGTGGTGCTGGGAGGGTGCTCAGCGCTCGGATGGTGAGCGGTGTGGGGGTTATCCTGGTTCACCTGGGCGAGGACCAGCAGCGGGATGGAACGGCTCAGGGAGCTCGGCGTGCCCAGCTCCTGGGGACAGCCAAAGCCAAGGCACGCAGTGCTTGAGATGACGATAGTCCTTACTTTCCCTTGTAAATTGGGCTATGCTCTTACCTAAAACAGTTTCCAGAAGCGAAGCCTGCCTGCTTCCCGCTCCAGGTAAGAAAGGGCAAGCTGCAGCTTGGCCGGTTGGTCTCTGTAAAAGTTGTTTTCTATGTTTTGGTTTATCTGTAACATTTTACTGTCAAATGTGCAAGGCAGCAACCTCACCTTTTCTATCACAAAAAGGGAGCATGAGCCCATTGGTGTACCTTGTGAATTAAGACGTGGTTCTCGTGTGCGTTAGATCTCTAGCTCCTGCGCACAGAAGGCTTTCATACAGATGCATTGATAAAAAGATCCCTATTTTCATGTCCTGCGGCCAAAAGGTTTTGATCTAGAGCCCTGCTTTCCTCTGGTCAACGGGAAGGGTTTGCATCTTGTTTCTAAAACTAAGTCAGTCCACAAAACTGGCAGGCTGTGGGCACACCGGGAATGGAAGGGCCCGCTGAGCTCCGCAGCTCTATTGCAGCAAGCGGCAGCTTTTCCACCCCCCTGGGCTTACCTTGGCCGCAGCTTGGTTTGCTGACTCCGTCGGGGTAGACCGCATATACCGACACGTTGATGCGACCTCCTGGTACTGCCTCTTCTGGAAAGGAGCAAGATTTGCCTTGAAAATGTATTTGTAAGCTGCTGTGAAAGCTCTCGGCTTGCTCAAGGGCTTCGTCCTCTTTCCCTCTCACCTTCACCCGGGAGACCCGATCCCACCGACTGCCCTCGCTCCTCCTTGCTCCCAAAGGGCTCTTCACGGTCCCACTCTCCAAAAACTAAGTGGCCAGGGGCTCAATTTCACATGAAACTCTGCCTTTCTGATATATTTTGGCTGTATAATATCCTGATGAACCACACCAAACAGCGAAATGACTCCTGGAGTATCTTACCTTGGATGTACGTGTGTGTTTCCTGGCATGGGACTTTCTTCCAAAAATATTGCTCCTTCTGGCCATACTGGGCGGTGGAAACCCACTCCACTATGAACCAGAGCGGGGACCTCCCGCTGCGGCGGGGGGGCTGCCAGGCCACCGAGATCCCGCTCCGGTTCTCGGGCTTCACCTCCACAGCCACCGGTGCCGGGAACTCTGCGGAGAGAGACGGCAGGGGGGCTGTCAGCCCAACCTCATCTTTGAAGAGCAGAAGACTTTGGAAGGGTCAGCTAAACCCAGGTAAAATGTGTCTTTCCTGAAAATGTTTAAGGATGAAGAGGGAACAAGAAATTCTAGAATGTAGTGGGGTTTTATATACATATATATATATATATATATACACACACACATGCACACACATATATATATAAAAATACCAATATCTATATTTTTATATCTATACATCTATTTTTTTATATATCTGTGCTCACATACACATATCGCGAAAGCACATCTTCAGCTTTGTCATGTCTCATCTGAAATGCTTTACCTGTCATTTCTTACAAGAAAGGCACATGATTCTGATAAATATGAGAGATTAGAGAATTTTTTCCACCTTATTTCTCTTTAGTTTCTTTTTAGTCATGTATTTGTCCTCAATTTGAATGGGACTTTCCCCTCCCATTGCTCATTAAAAGGCACACTTTTAAAAAATAGGAAAGTGTGGTTGTGGGGAAAACCACACAACCTGTAGTGCAGGGAACCTAAGGTGGCCCAGAAAGGAATTTTTTTTTTTTTCCCTCCCTTTCTGTTTGCAAGGACCCAGCTCCCAGCTGGGGCTGTCTCCCTGCCAGAGGCAGCAGGAGCTATTTTTGGGAGCACGGAGCAGAGGAGCACCCTTGCACCGAGCCCGCTGCCCACCACCAGCCAGCACAGGCAGGACAAACAGATTTTTAAGCTTGTTGCTGCAGCCTTCAGAGGCCAAGGGCTGAGATAGGCGCCTGCGGAGCATCTCCATCGCCAGGGGATGCCGGCCTCGTCCGGAGGACATTGTGTCCCCTTGGAAAAGCTCTGCCGGGGCTTTTCCCTTGCTTTAAAGCCACGCACGCACAACCTAGCATTTTTTTCCCCTGCCATCCTGCTAAAAGCTGGTCTCTGTTAAAGCTGCCATTGCTTTGTGCGAGATCCTACCTTCCTGGCCGCCGGCACCTCGGCCGAGGGTGATGTTGGCGGGGCTGGAAGCCCCCCTGGAGTTGTGAGCGGTGATTTGGAGGGCACGGGCTCCGGGGGGGACCAGGACGCTGCACGCCGTGCTGGAAGTGTTGCAGAGGAGCATCGCTCCCCGGGGGCTCTCGGCGGTCACGGTGTAGCCCAGGATCTTCCCGCGGGCATCCCGGGGCGAGAGGGGCTGCGAACGGCCGGAGAGGGGATGGGTGAGGGGTCTGACCCCCAGCAGCCCTGGCGCAGGATAGACGTCCCCTCAGCTGGGCAACGGGGACGGATTTTTGCAAGGATGGAGAGGTTTTGCCCCAAGAACGTGTTGGGGTCTCCTCTTCCCCCCCCCATCTCTTTGGTCCAAGGGCATCACCTTCCACCGCCTCTCGGCAGGGGCTGTTCTCGCGCGGGGAAATTTCACAGGAGCCGCCCAAAAAAGACTTTACCTTGATCAAGACCGTCACCTCGCGGCTGCCGTTCGAGAACGCCGGGCCCAGCCGCCGCCAGACGTCGGGTGCCGCGGCGGGGGCTGCGGGAGGAAGCGTGGGACGTGGCGTGAGCTCCCGAAGGGGAACCAGCCGGGGATCCCACCCATGCGTGGGGCTCCCACCCACGGACGGGGCTCCCACCCACGTGCAGCATTTGCAGAAAGCCACGCTCGGCCGGCGGCTCCGTGCTGCACGGCTTTGCTGCTGCGGAGAGGAAACGGCCCGGGCTGAAAAAAGCAGCGAGCGCTGCTTTTTAGGGCGAGCGTGTCCCCGGTTTCCTCGCTGCAACCGGGATGTAAGGGAGGGCATCGCTCCTGGGGCGTCTCGGCCGAGATAACGGAGCCGGCTGTGTCTAAGCTTATCCTGGTGTTAGTAACTGGGATGCAAAGAGGGGAAGGCAACAAGGTATGTGTCGGATGACCCAAGACAACAGGTCTTGGTGGGACACTTTTCCACCTAGGGCCAGAGGACTTTTCCCTGCTGCCAGGGAGCAAGCCAGCTACCAAAGACGGATACGCATATCCCATCCCTCTTTTTGTACGGAAAAACCACGTGCCTGCAAAGCCCCTCTGGCATCTTTCCAGCTCCTACCGTACCGCCGCAACCTGAGGAATCTGCCAAAATCACCATGACCCGCAGCCCGCCGCGGGGCCGGGAGCCCTCGGAGGGCATGAGACAAGTTGCCGGCTTACGACAGTGCTCAGCCCTTGGCCGCAGCGTGGGGACGGTGGCGATGCCACAGCGTCGTGCCCGACGTCTGCCGACAGCGGTCTCCCGTGTCACTGAGCTGACTCGAGGATGCTAACGGGATGCCCAGCATCCTGAGCTTGGGCCGGGTCCCCGCAGAGCATCTCAAGGAGCTGATGGGCTGCTTTTGGGGGAAAAAAAAAAAAAAAAAAACAACAAAAAAACCACAGGGAGAGCAGTGCCGAGGCTGAGCGTACCTGCCTCGGGGGTGGTGTAGAGAAAAGGGGTGCTCCAGGCGCTCCAGGGGCTGTCGGCAGGGCTGAGCCGGCACCGGACCTGAAACGCGTACTGGGTGTTACTCTGCAGGTCGTGCTGCGAGCGGGACCCGTGCTGCGCCGTGCTGTCCCACTCCTCCACCTGCAAGGGAAGCGGGGTGCTAGGTGGGGAGCAGGATTGCCCCCCCCCCGCTGCTGCCGCCGGCCCCAAAATGTAAAGTGGGAGCCGGCGGCGGTCACTGCCTTCCTCTTCTACGTGGATGGGGACAGGCAAGGTCCTCCCCGAGGACACAGGGCTGGCTAACGCACTGGGCAAGCTGGGGTGGTGCAGCGAGAGCCCCCAGCCGGCTACATCGCTGGGCTTCTGACACCATGGCAATTTGGGGGGGGGCTCTGGTGGGTGCCGGAGGTTTCCGAAAGGGACCCGGGTGGAGCTGCCCGCAGTGCGGTCATGTCTGCGAGTGTGCAGGGACGACCGATGAAGCGTGCGTGCGCTGAGCATCCCTAGAGGCTTTTCTGCCTCCTTGCAGAACTAGATAACGTTCGGAAATATTTTGAGTTTTGCCCTTTTGCTTAAAAAGCAGAGATGATAACCCTGCCTGAAAGGCGCTCTCGGAGGGCATTGGCTGTTCTGCCCTGACAAAGGTGGGGGGCTGCCCACGGCTGGGGGTGCGTGCCCCCCCCAGGCACAGAAGCAAAGGGGTGGGTTTTAAATGACCCCCCCAAATGCTCCCATTGCCCGTGGATTCTTAGGGCTCTCCAGAACTGGTGCATCTCCTAACATGGGGCAGCTCACACACATGGATCTGAGGGTGGGGGGGAGTCTTTTTGGGGGGGTCCCAGGACATCTCACATGCCACGCCGGGGCACCCGTGGCTTTGTGTCGCTCCTCGCAGCGCACGTTCTCCAGCAACGTCTGCCTCTTCCAGCGGATGGTGGTGGTGGGAGGCGACGTCTCCATCGTCTCGGCGCCGGCGACCAGGGGTAGAGCGGGAACCACTGCGGGAAGAGCCGGGAAAACATGGATCAGGCGGTCGGCACGTCCCGGGGGCTGCCCTCCCACCCCTCAGCCGCATTGCCCGTGCATCTCCCTGAAGCGACATCTCAGCGCGGCGTGTACGGCTACGCACAGCCCCAGCACACAGCGCAGCTCACGGACAGATGGACGGATGGATGGATGGATGGATGGATGGACATACCGAGCTCCTGCAGGTCGAGGCGCCGAGGAGGCGAGCGGGCAGCACCCAGCGCGTTGCTGGCCTGCACCCACGCCGAGTAGCGGGTCCCGCCACGCAGCGCGCTCAGCGGCACCGGCAAGCCCGCGGGGAAGATCTCCTCCTCCTCCTCCTCCTCCTCAGCATCCTCCTCAGCATCCTCCTCCTCAGCATCCTCCGCCACCGCTGTCCCCACACTGGGAATCAGAAAGCAGCCCCGGTCAGAGCCTGGCCCAGCATCGTGCACCCGCTGGCAAGGCAAGCCCGACTCTCAAGGGGGCACAGTCATCTCCAAAACTGGGGTTTGTCACTCTTAAAGCAAGCTAGAAAGTAATTGCCTTCGGTTCTTGATGTTTCTGCAGGGCATTTGCTGTAGGAAGTGAACTTTCTCAGTTCTTTCTGGCTGCGCGGTTGAACCTAGGCAAATTTAAGCAGGCAGTTAATCACTTTACAAAGCCTACGTATGACGGGATTTAATGCATTTACTTCAATAATTGAGTCAGATTAATTTTGAAAGCCTGCCGGTCTTGTGTCGCGGGTGCTTCGGTGTCAGACATGGCACAAAGCATCCCGGGCTGGGTAGGAAGGGCTGCGGCATGCTGCGCGGCAGCCGGCACGCCTGCTTCAGGTTCGAGCTTTTGTACTCTGCTGGGGTTTCGGTTTCGGGGTTTGGGCAGCGCTAGGTGCACACCGCCGGCTGCACCCTCTCTGCACGCCCTTTAACTTGGAGAGAATCAATGCACCTGCAAAAAAAAGGCTGTAACACGTTGGTGCAACGTTTGCCAGGCCACTAGTAGCACCGAGCGCGTAAGGTCCACCCTGCGGAATCAAACCCGTGGTTTAAAACGCGGTTTGCGAGCAGGAGACGAGGAAGATGTCAGCTTTAGAAAGCGTAAGTAGGGCATGGCGCCCGACCCAATTCACCGCCGGCGGCAGAGCAGCCCCGGTGTCACCCAGCTTCGTGGCCGCCGCGTCCCGGCGGCTCCGCCGGTTACCCCTTTCCTTCCCCGGCCCCGTCCGGGTGGTCGCATCGCCCGCCCCGCAGCCCCCCGCCCCGGTCCCACGGGACCTTACCTGCGCAGGTGGAGGGCGTAGCGGGTGCTCAGGTGGGTCGGCCGTCCCGTGTCCCACGTGCACGCCAGGCACCCCGAGTGCTCACGGATGGTGCAGGTCAGGTTGCCGGGGGGGTCCGGAGGGTCTGTGGAGGTGAGGTCAGGCAAAGCGTGCTGACACCCCCTCCCCGCCCCGAGCGGTGCCAAATCCAGGCTGCTGTAACCCCCAACCCGCCCCGACTTCCTCGGTGCTGGCGGCTTAACAAAAATCACCAAAACCCCGTCGCCGCGGGGGGGTTACTCACAGCCGGCCAGGACGTGGGTGCCGCACACCAGCTGGTGCCGTTCGCTGTCGGAGCAGCGGGCGAAGCAGGCGACGGTCCCGAAGGGCATTCGGAAATCGCGCAGCTGGAGCCGGACGGTGCTGCTGTTGAGGGGCTGGAGGGGACCCTCGGCGAGGCTGTAGTTGAGAAGGATGAGGAACTTGGCCCAGGGGCAGCCGAGGGTGGAGAGGCAGTTGATGGAGACGTCGGAGCCCATCCGCACCACCGGCGCGGGCTCGATCCAGACGTGCCCCGAGCACTTGATGTTCGCGACACCTGCGCCAACACCCCACGGGTCAGGGCGGCTCCGGGTGGGCGTCCCACGGGAGGAGAGGATGCCCGCGGGCTGCACCGCTCCGCGCGGGCGGTCGCCTTTCCGGGATGCGGGCGGCAGCGTGGCGGGACCCCGCGGCCCCCTCGCTCCCCTCAGCCCCCCCAGGATGGGGATAAACCCCCCCCTGCCTTCAGCAGTGACCCAGCAGCTGGTGACTCATCCCCTCGGATCAGAAACGGCTAGTTTCACCCATTTTAGGTTTTGCTTTAATGCTTAAATGACTGCAGGGAAATAACCCGTAGTCTTGAGAGCTCTGATCCCCCGAGATTAGGGCGGCAGCCCCCGCGCGGAGGCACAGCCTGCCCTTCGCTATCAGATGAGGCTTCTGCAGCAGCCCCGGCAAACCCAGCTCGCAGCCGGTATCGGGCTCGATCTGGCCTTCCTGGAAAGGGTGCAGCTGAGCTCCGGCTTCGTGTGCGCGGAGGCAGGGTCACACCGCTCCTCGCAGACGGTGAAACGCCAGCGTGCTTCAACGTGGCTGCCCGTGGCCCCGCTCCAAGGATGCAAGCAGGGAGGAGAGGGTGCTGCAAGGCGTGGGACCCCCCCCTCGCAATTCAAAAAAAGCCCCCCCCCCCCCCCCGCCAAATCCATAGCTGTAGCCCTATAATTTTCCTACTCCCACTCCGATTCCCCAGCAGGGACAGGGCATTTGCTCCGGCGCTCAGCGAGGGTGATGCCGTAGCGGCTGCGCCGAGCCGTGCCGCGCCGCCGCCGCTTACCTCCGCACAGGCAGCAGAGCAGGACGTGGAGTGCCAAAGCCTCGCCGGACCCCGCCATGGCCTGGGCTGCGGCCGCTGCCCGCGCCTGGCATAGTCTGGGGAGGGAGGAAAAATGTGAATTATCCCACCAGCCGCACCGCTGCCCGACACGGCCAGGTCTGCCCTCACCCCAGGGATGCTCGGGGACCGCGCCGGAGGTGGCCGTGGGGATGCACGGCGAGGGTTTCGTTGGGGATTTGGGGTCAGGCCGGGTCGCGCCAGCAGTGGGAGCGCAGGGAGACGGGCCCGTGGGCACACGGGACTCAGTGTTTTGGGTAACGGGCACCCCATCAGCAGAGCCCTGTGTCCAGCCCCGGTGAGCAGCCTCGAGGCCGCTTTCCCCAAGATTCCACCTCTGGTGACATTTCTCTTAGTTTTCATAGCCGTGAAATTTCTCCAATCCTTTCCTTATACAAACCCGTATGTTCATGCAGTTTTTGGTAGCCCACAGGCTGGACAGCCTCACCTCCACCTCCGGGCAGGTGATGGAGCAAACCCCCAAAAACCAGCTCCCAGCACACGCAGGAGGACCAGGAGGTGATGGGAGCAGGCAGCGTGGATTTACAAAAGGGAAATCACGCCTCAGCAGCCCGAGAGCCTTCCTCGAAGAAGACTGGTGTGCTGGGTGAGGGGGTTGCAGGGGATGCTTCTGTTTTCATCCTGCCCCTCTGCTCAGCCCTGGGGAGGCACATCTGGAGCGCTGGGTCCGGGGCTGGGCTCCCCCCAAAACAAGAGAGACAGGGACAGACTGGAATGAGTCCAGCAAAGGTGCCTGAGGGTCTGGAGCACCTGAGATGTGAGGGAGGGCTGGGAGAGCTGGGGCTGTTCAGCCTGGAGAGGAGAGGGCTCAGAGGGGTCTTATCCTTGCATATATATGTCTGCTGGGGGAGTAGAGATGAGGGAGCCAGACTCCTCTCAGTGGTGCCCAGGGACAGGACAAGAGACAATGGGCTCACATTGAAAATCAGGAAATTCCAGTTAAACGTAAGAAAAAGCCCTTTAAGGATGGCCAAGCATGGGGCTGGCTGCCCTGAGGGGTTGCTCTGCAGTCTCCATCCCTGGAGATGCTCAGACCCCCCCAGACACAGTCTCATGGGACAGAAGCATCCCCTGTTTCCATAACACCTTTCCCACCCCCTTGCTGTGGCGGGTCCTGCCTGAGCCGAGCAATGGCTCTTCCTGGCCGTGCTCCCCCCCCCCGCCCCGAGACAGTCCCAAAATCCCAGGCAAGGGCTTTCCCTCTCTTTCCAAGGAGCCGCGCTCATGTCCGCATCCCACAGCCTTGCCTGAATTTTCCCCTGCTCACTTCACCTTCCTCCCCAGCCTCTTTGGATTCACCCCCCCCTCCAGAGGTGAAGCCCAGCCTTGCCAGCGAGGGGGGAATTGCACTTTTCCAAGAGAAACATCCACCTGGGAGCAGCTTTCACGGCACACCCGAGCCCCCCCGAAGGCTGGGGCGATGCTGCGATGGGCGCAGGGCTGGGTGCTGGGCAGACCCTTGCCATAGCCTTCCACCCCGTTCACGTGCACGGTGCTGAAAACTGAGCAAAGCCCCACGCCTCTGTGGTTTTCTTTTTAAGCCCGCAATAATTAAAAGAACCCTATACAAAATCTGATGTTAGAAATGGCAAGTTTCCCCTTGAGGGACAAGCTGAACCAGAGTCCACTGTGAAAGCTTCAAAATGATGTTGTTCGACCCAAACCAGGCTACTAGCTACAGCTAATGCTTTTGTATTTCTCCTGCTGTGTGCGCTGACCTCGTTTGTTTTAAGGGCTGTGCAAGTATTCGTAATGATTGAGTCAAATTTCAAGTGCCTTCCTATTACCTGACCCACTAAGAGAACTTGAAGGCCTTCCAATTGCCTGTAAACCTTCTGCAAGTTAGAACAAATGAAAAAAAACAACCAAGCCTCGTGCTCTATGAAAAGAGCTGAAAAGACAATAAATCTGCCTGACTGCCAGCTCTAAGACAAGATCGCAGGCTCTGCCTCCTCTGGGGATCACTCACATTCGCGTTTTTATTCCAATTTACGGGCATTTGCAAACTCCGGGCATTTGCAAACTCCAAAGCCAGAAGGAACGAGACCGTTGTCGAGAGACGATGGGTCTTTGATTTCATCTCTACTAAAAAGCCTCCTCGTACGCTAGCGCTAAAGAAATGCGAAGCAAATGAAGAAGGAAAAACTGTCCCGGTTGTGCAAGCCCAAACCATGCAAAATCTTTACCAGCAATGTGTGTCAGAGGTGGCTAACGCACATAAGCAGCAGCTGAGAAACGCGAGCGGGGATTTTGGGGGGCTTTAAACCCGGGTGGTAGTGGGCTGGAAGCTGGGCACAGCGGGGGGGTCCTTACCTTGCCAGTCCTCAGGACATGTGCTGCCGGGCCCCTCTGCCTGCTGCTGCGGCCGGGGCTGTCGAGCACGGCGAGAAGCATCAGCAAGTGTCAGCAAGCCTGACCTAGATAGCTGTGTCGAGAAAAACTGAGAGTTTCCAGTCTGAGTCAGTCCATGGGAAAACCCAGCATCCCTTAAAGGAACAGCCCCGGGGGGGGTTTGCCTTTTTAGTCTTTAAGTTGTTACAGGATTTGGAGTCATCCCGGCAAGTGTAAGTCCATCCCGAATGGATTTTTAGGATGGTGTGGCTGTGTGCGAGGCGACAGGAGCCCAGCGGAGGGGTCCTGGGGAGCCGGGCTGAGCTCCATCAGCAAAAGAACGTTTTTCTAACTAATCCCAGAAGCCTACAATGTAAAACTCCTCAAGGCCTGAGGCTGTTTTCACCGGCACCGAGCGTCACCCCCTCTGCTTGTGCCGGACCCCAGCTCATCGGGGGATGCTACGGGGCTGCGGACCCCCGGGGTGGGGGGGCAGAAGGGGCCGAGGCTCCGGAGCTGCCCCGGTGCTCTCCATCCCACCGGCTCCCACCGCTGCTCCCAAACCCCTCCGGCTGCAGAACCCGTGGCTTCCTTTTTCATATCGGTTGAAGAGTTAACCTCAATAACAGTGTTAACCTCATTAGACGCTGCAACCACAGGAAATACCGCACCGCTCGCTCGCCTCTGCCCTCGCAGAAGGAAACGTTGGGGAACATAATTTCTCCCCCCACCCCGGGCCAAGGCAGACCCTTCCTCTGCCGGGGCTGCTCTGGGTTTTGACTCATCCATGGGGGGTTTTTTTGTAAAAGTGAAGGGTGGGTGAAAGCAAGAGCAGTAGCCTGCTGGCACCGCGGGGGTGAAGCCTCACTGTGTGCTGAAACTATAACATGCAGTTATAATAACATATATGATGCATCTGTATGTATAGTTATACGCAGCCCGAGCAAGCTCGGGAGGGTTTCGGTGGGAATTTTAGTTTCAGCACGCTACGGGTGTGTTTAATGCGTTCTGTAATGAAAGTATTTGTATTAATCTATTGAAAACCATTTTCAGGAGGAGGAAGGGGGTGTCTCGCCTTGCGGGTGGGCTTTGCTGAGATTCGGGAGTCCTGGCGTGGAGGGGAGCGAGCTGAGGAGGGTCCGGGGGGATCCCAGTCCCCTCTGCAGAGCTGCTGGGGCAGAGGGGTCGTTTGCCGGCAGCGACAGAGCTGGGGCTGAGGAAGGAACGCTGTGGGGCACACATCTGGGGCGAGGGCTGCACATCTGGGGCCAGGGCAGCGTCGCAAGCGCGCACATCTGGAGCCAGGTTATGTCACCTGGATCTGGGGTTGCACCGCGGGTGCGCACATCTGGAGCTGGGACGGCACCGAGGGCAAGCACATCTGGGCCCAGGCAGCACACCTGGAGCCAGGGCAGCACATCTGGAGCTGGCATAGCCCATCTGGAGCCAGCACGGCGCATCTGGCTGTGGTACGGTAATGCCTCCAGCCACGGTGCGTCGTGGCTGCTCCCCAGCACCCCGCCAGCCTCGGAGCCTTCCCGAGCTGCTGGTTCCCGTATTGCCCAGACCATCAGCCTTTTCTGGTGCCAGTTAAACTCGTGTCTTCTTATCTCTTCCTGAGCGGCCGCAGCGAGCTGTGGCTCAGTGCCCCGATGCTGCCAGCCCTTGGGCCGGTGGGGAGCAGAATAAGTGCTCACGCCCGGCTCTTTCCCACGGCTTGCTCTTCCCGGTGCTCACAAAACCCAGTTCCTTCTGGGTTTGGAAACCGCTCGGGTTTCCAAACCCCATCGTGCCTCTCACTCCTTTTGCGGCTCTTTGTGATTTGCTTGGATCTTCCTTACAGCCTGATGTCCAAAGGTGGTTTTGCTGCAGTTGTTCCAGAGGCTGGCACGGCACGGCACGGCAGGCTTCTCCCAGCACGCCCCAGGATAGTCCCTTCAGCACCCAGTGCCTGTTCCCCTTGGGACCCGGGGTGCTCCCCAGCCTTTTTCCAGCCAAAAACCCGCCGTCCCCGTGCCACGCTCGCTGCGTCCGACCCAGGGCTGGGGTCGCTTACCCCCTTCCCCGTGCCAGCGCTTTCTCCCAGCCCTCAGCCTGCCTCAGCCACGTTGAGCCCCCCTTCTCCCCATGTTTTTGGGGGTGCACCCTGAATTCAAGGGGCCAAGAAAACTCGCAGGGGAGCGTGGGGGGGCCGCGGTGCCTCACTCCCGCCTCCCTTCTAGCGTGACTTTCCCCGGCCGCCCCCGGGGAAAGCGATTGCATCTCGCAGAGACTTCCTCGCTGGCTGCCGAGACCTGCCCTGCCTCCGCAACCCCGCTCCTCCGGGCCCCACCAGCCTTCCCTCTGCCCCCGTCCCCCCCGGGGTTGGGGGGGGGGGTACCAGGCTCCGAAGCCCTTTTTCCCATCCGCTGGGATGTGCACTCCACCCCGGAGTCATTGCCAGTTTGGCTCCGGGGAGAAACCTCTGGTTGAGCTGGTCGCCAAATGAGATTAAGATTAAAAAACGGGATTAATTTCATTTTTGTTATCTTTGGTGGGCTCGCTGCTGGCCGGGCGCACGAAAATGACTGCAGTGAGTCAGAAGCTTAGTTTAGCAGGAAGGAAAGGTCGGGCCAGGACGGGCTTTGCTGCCAAAAGCGAAGCGCTTGTGTCATACCCGGAGCTGTGCTTGGCACAGGGGACACGGGGGACATGGGGGACACGGGGGACACGGCCACCCCAGGCACGTCCCCGTCTCGCCATGCCTGCACCATTGCAGCCGCACCTTCTGCTGCCCACCAAACCCATTCACCCAGAGGGTCCAAATATTTGACCTTAAAACTGTCACGGTGGCATTTGTGCCGTGGCCGCTGCCGGGGGGGGGCTGCCCCCGCATCCCCCCGTGGGTTCACAGGAGTTCCCCGTGTGTGCGGCTCCCTGTCCATCACCGCGGGGTCTCCGGTGCCACCGGGGGGGGGACGGATGCGCCGGCGGGAGGGCAGGCCTAGGAATTGGGGCCGTTTGCGTCAATCCCGCTGGCGCCGGAGTCCGGGCAGGATTAGGTTCCTCTCTGCTGTTGGAGGAGTAAATATTTCTAGGTCCAAGCCCGCACTGTGGCTTGATAAGGATGGACAGGACTTAGTGCGGGAACAAGGAAGGTGATGCCCATGAGAAAACTTTTCTGACTGTGGTTTTTGGCCAGCTTAAAAGGACATCCTAGATGTGGGAAAGTTGCTCCTGGCTTTTAAAGTCGGTCTGTCCTTCCTGCAGCCCGGTGCGAGCCGTGCCGGGGATTGGCTCCTGCTTCTCCCGCACCCCTTCGCCGGGAGTGGGGCAGCAGCGGGGACACGAACGAGGCAGGAAAAAGAAAGGAAAGTTTGGGCAAAGAGTTTGCTTTCCCCCTGCGAGGGGAGAGGGTGAGGGCGAGCGTGCCGGGGCGAGCAGCAGCTCGCGCCCACGGGGCCACGACGCCCCGTTTCACGCCTGGGGCCGCAGGGGTTGGCCGTGCCCCGGCAGGTCTGGACGTGGCAGGGAGATAATTGGGGATAAAGCTGGCCAAAAAGGGGCCGTTTCCTCTGCAAACACCGTGGCCAAGGGCAACAAACGTCCCGCAGCTGCCTCACCTCCTCCCATCGGGTTGACCCTAAAGTGCTGTGGCTGGGGGGCTCACCCCAACCCCCCCCTGCACCCACCCTGCGAGAC